GCATTCTCTAAGCAACAAGTGTGCGACATCCACGCAAACTTGCGTTTCCAGTATATTGCAAGAAGAATGCGCGTACTGCACGATATAAGTTTTAATTTTTTTAAAGTTTAATAAGTTCAGGTTTGCTGGACAAAGTTTTATTCTATTGGGCACACAGACACAACTCTTCCACATTTCGATTAAAATGCACCTTACAACGGATAAACATTACGACATGTTCTTTGAGAGTGTACCACAGCAGTGTTAGTCATGAACAACCAGGTCGTCGCATCGTTCACATTCACCCGCGAATGAGCAGCGTGGTATGTTGTGCAGCAGCAATCAATCTCGAGCACCGCTTCGTCAGCAGCCACGTGACCTCTCCAGTCCGTTTGAAAAGTCTCTCTCTCTCTCTCTCTCTCTCTCTCTCTCTCTCTCTCTCTCTCTCTCGTTGCGCCGCGGTGTGGCGAGTCATGCCGGAACGTGGAAAAACTGCCAGAGCAGCGAGCTTATTCACGTACCGCTGATTGATCACGGCCCCCCTTCCGCGCCTTTGCCGGCACCTTGCCCTATGCCCCGTTAGTCCCCCCCCCCCCCCAGTAACTCCCTCTCTCTCCCTCTCTCTCCGTCTGTCTCTCTCGCAACCCACTCCCCCTCTCTTCTCCCATGGCTATTCTCTTTATCTCCCTTCTAATTTATACGGGACGACCGAGAGACGTGAAATGGGAAGAGATGTGCCGGCGCCGGACGTCGCAACTCGAGCGGCCGTTTGGAGGAGAGCGCGTGGGTGACGGAATGTCCGGCCGGACGTGCCGCGCGAATCTGTCATCAGTCAGTATATCTCATGACGCGATGACTAACACGACGCACACACGCACGCGGGCGATCGCAGTCGAAACGGGAAACATGACTGTCCAATTATGACTGTCCTCAACTATCCACCTGCCGGCCGACGTCCCACACTATCTGTTGTGATTGCGCGCTCGCTTGCTTGTGGTAGGCGTGGCCGCGGCGTGGCGCAGTGTGGGGCGCAGTGTGGGGCGAGGTGTGGGGCGAGGTGCGGGGTGAGGCAGCAGCGAGATAAGCCCGACGTTCATAGTACTCTTGTCGCCGCGACGCGACCGTCAAGCCCAGTTGCGAGCCAGACTTGGACGCGCGCGGCATGCTGACGGCGAGCCGCTGACACCATGGAGTTCTGGCTTGTGCTGCTGCTGCTGGCAGGTAAGGTCGGGAACTGACACGTGTGTGAACACACCACGCACGTCCACAAATTTAGCTCATGTGTTTGTTACGCCCCTGCCCAATGATGGCCACCCCTTTTCCTTGTAATGTAGACAACGATGTGAAGTAGTTTGGCTTATTATGCCCAAGTAGGGACCATACTAGAACACAACTTCAAGGCCAAGATTGTAAAGTGACCAGATTGGCTGGAAATCGAGAAAAGTGGCCATCAATGGACAGTGGCCACATTACGGCACCTTACCCTATAATAAGAGAAACAAAATAAGAACATTGCCCTATTCATAAATTTGTATCATCTGTTTTCAAGATCGATTCTTGATTGAGATTTTTTACACTTTGACACTAAACATAACTATTCATAAATATAGGAAGGTGTCATTGGCATTAACTCTCGATAAAGAAATAATGAGAACGAATAGAAAGCTCATATATTGCGATAGGTGGGGACGTTGAGGCGGCTTGCTGGCTGGCTAATTCAGACCCCATAGGACATTGGTATGTATATACCAAGACGCTGGTCTTAAATTTGTATTGGGTTCAACGCTAGCCACATAAGATGAGCGCTACATAATCAGTCTTAGCAATACGGCACCTGGATGGATGTTGCACTTTGCCCAATACGGCGCCACGCCGCCCTCAATCCAGAACTCTAAATTGTGACGAATACCGTATAAGCGTTTCGTTTCCCTTGGGTATCTTTATCTTGTACATCTTATATTGTTCATCACAAAAATGAAGTTAGTGATATTGTCACATTTTACGTGTTCTTGAAGTGTCTTGAGAAATTCCACTTGTTTTGATAATAATCCAAATACTAACGCAAACCACTCAAGACAATCAAGTACACGTGTATAACTGCACTGTTTAATTTCCTGCAAAGCAAACTGCGAAGTATTTACATCCTTTGTAACTAAGAAGCATTTACTTTGAAATTACAAAGTGGTCGAAAACTTCGCAGTTCTGCAAAGCATTGCTTTGTAGGAATTCAACAGTATGTTCTAAATTCAAGAAAATGTTTCGGGTAGGGCGGGGGGTGTATAATGTAAACCAAAGTCATACATCAGAGGACGTGAAATGACCTGCGACTTTCTGGATCGACTTTTTTGACATCTTCGTACAACTTAAAACTCAGCCCACCGTGTGGACGTAACCGACATTTCAAATGATTGGATACAACTTTCGTAACTTTCCCGTGG